AGTAGTAGTAGTAGTAGTAGTAGTAGTAGTAGTAGTAGTAGTAGTAGTAGTAGTAGTAGTAGAGAGAGAGAGAGAGAGAGAGAGAGAGAGAGAGAGAGAGAGAGAAAGAGAGAGAGAGAGTCAAGTGTCTCTGACCTCCATAGTTTTATGGGATGTACAGGTATTCTATGTGATCTAAACTTCAAGTCCATAGTTAAGTCACAAGTGTGCAGGCATACACCTACGAAATTTGCAAGGTTGCAGAAAAGTGCATCATGCAGAAGTTTTTAAATTGCCCCAAGGCATTTTAGGAAAAGCCAAATGTTTTTCATTAAACCTTTCTTTAGGGAGTGTAAATATTATCGGAAGTGTATAACAATTTTACAGAGATCCAAAAAAGACTTTTTAATCTTCAGATGACTTTCGGCCTAAAACAAAGTATACTTTGAAAAGGCTCATTAGCAACAATTTTGGGATACCTCAACAAGTAGGCTCATTTTCAGCTTCTAAAGTCACACAGGCAAATAAAGAGGCTGCTACTATTTTCTCATCAGAAGATGGGTTGGAGAAGAGGGTTATAATAAGTAAAATCCACTTTAAGGTTCTTCTTGGTCTTCTTTGGCAAGAGATTTTATCAGAGGTTCATCCAGAAGTATCCATCCTCTTGTCAATATAATTCTACTATTCTAGGGGAAGAGATTTTCAAGCATGTATACAGTTGTTTTTTGTCTGTGTTTATATTTTGAAATTATCACGATCCTTAGTCTTAGGTGATCTAGCAGACATCTGGTTTGGATGAGAGAGGTCAACGATTCAACTGCTAAAGCTTGCCCCAAGAAAAACCCAAATACACAGTCAAACCCAAAATCTGCAAAAACTTAATATTCTTTGTGAAACTATTGTATTTTGTGCACATCACATACATATCAACATCCTCGAACCTTTTACCACAAATTCGAAGGATTGGACCAGCGATGCAATTACTGCAAAAAAAAAAAATAGAGAGATTTATGCTCATGTCCCCCTAAATATCTTTTATTATAAAATCCTCCTAATTTTTTGAAATTTACACCCATTTCTTATCTTTTTCATTTTCATAAAATACCATCACTTCCGACCTTGAAGATCCGAAGTGCCAGCGAAAAAAAGCCGAAGTCAACAAAATACTTGCACTTCTGACCTTGAAGGGCCTAAGTGAGAGTACTGTGGACCTCCAAGATCTGAAGTCAATGGACTTTGGTTAATGTAAAACAATAACAAAAGTTCTATGGCGTAGTCTTTTGCACTTACTTGCAGGCCTAAGTGCACTTCGCACCATCACTGTCTGAAGTGTTCTCACTTTGGACTCTAAAGGTTCGAGTGTACTTACTTGCAAGTCAGACCTTGAGGGTCCAAAGTGAAAGTATTCGAGAATTTTGTCATCACTTCAGATCTTCAAGGTCCAGAGTAGAGGAATCTTGGGAAAATAAAATATAATATAAAAAATAAAAAATAAATAAAAAGAGAGAAAGGGCAAAAGAGAGAGGTATGAGTGTAAAATATAAAAAATTGAGGGGATTTTTATAAATATGGATATTTAGGATGACATAAGCATAAATTTCTCCAAAAGAAAAGGACTGGACACAAAAAAAAAAAAGTATAAATAACTTAGCTTCTCTATTTATACCCCTCATGTTCCTTCTAAATTACAGGTACCAAACCATTGTTTCCACACCCATCTTCAAACACATCAAACAGATTCATCATAGATTGCAACATATGCTGCAACATATGTCTGTGGGTATTATCTCATATGAAAATAGCATATATGCGTCCGATTATCAGATACACATTTTTATATCATGGATTACAAAATGTTGAGAAGTATCTCTACTTATATTTGTGTTCATATCTGGGTAACCGTGTATGTTGTGTACAGGCAACTTATACATTCTTCTAGAGCTTCAAAAAAAATCCATAAGAGCATTAATTCAATTGTTACTCATATCAACACATTTTCCACCTCAACCATAACATTTACAAAACATCATGTTGCTGCATAAATAATTTAATACCTCTGAAATGTATATTGGAACCAGAACAGTGTTCACTCCAATGCCAAGACCAACCAAAAATCTTCCCAATAGCATCTGATCCACGGTATGGGCTTGTGCACTACAATCAAAAAACAAAACGAATAGGCAGATGAATTGGACTTTGATGCATAATTTTCAACTCCCACTGAAGTATCTAAGCATTAGTTAACAAATTCATGTAAAACTATTTTTAGTGTTATTGGCTTGAAATTCTACTCCAATGAAGCAACATGAAACAAGACATGCATCAGAATTGCACTTTATAAAAAAAACTTCAATATTTGAAAAGTAATATTTATCCCTCTATTTCTTATTTAATATCGAAAATGAATCATGATATTCTGTCAAGGAAATCATCAAAAAACAATTGCCACTCACGAAGCAAATCTGTTACAACAAACTATTTCTTTGGCACATATCTTTTATGTAACTTCCTAATGGGTTCAATAAACATGGTCTGCTAAACCAAAAAGTTGCAGCACAAAATTAGATTTTTGTACAAGATAATCTGCCACTTAGTTCTTTTCACATAATGTAATGTCAATCCTTCATTCAGTAAAAAGCAGGAACACTTCCAAATATCCACAAGAAGTTGTCAAATATATCTTAATAAAATTCATAGCTCATAGACATGGTGTACTCAACTTCAATCAGTCACCCACCAAGTCATCTAAAGCCATAATCCACCAAGTCAACTAAGTACAAGACTACATATAATACTTTCTAATGTTAAACTTTAAATGGCATGACTATTGGCCTACATTTGCCCTTTAGGCCAAGATCCATACATTGATCATGGAGGGAGCAACGGACATTGCCATCATTTCAGATGGATAGGAAGATTGTTTTTCTTCACAAGGGTTAACATATGGAGATATAAGTTGTGCCATTTATTGGCCGACATTTGCCCCTTAGGCCAAGATCAATACATTGATCATGGAGGGAGCAATGGGATATCGCCACCATTTCAGATAGATAGGAAGATTGTTTTTCTTCACAAGGGTTAACATATGGAGATACAAGTTGAAAATAACCTTGAGTAATCAAAAGAGTGTAAAGAAGAGGAGAACAATTAGATAGGACCATTATGTAAGCTAGCCTCTACAACACCAATTAAAGAATCTTAAAAATTCAAATGTTGATTATCTTGCACACAAGCTATTACAGAAGCATTAAATATAATTATTATATATACCTATTATATATAATTAATATATTGATTATATATATCATAATACATATTAATTATTATATATAACACATATTATTTAATATTATTTTTTTTTTTTTTTTTTTTGATAATGTTGACATTGTATTACTAAAACAAGAAGGAATACAAAAGATTGAGGAAAGAGAGAGCCAAGATTACCCTCAAGACGGGTATCTCAGTCAAAATAATTAATATATTTTTAATATGTATATATAATACATATTATTTATATAATAATGGCGATCAATATACTCATTATATATTAGAATATATGTAGTAATTATTATATACACAATTTATATTACTATACATTATTTATTATATAATATTAATTAATATATAATTATTATTTTAGTGGAAAACACATCTCCACATTTTTAACCTCAAAATGTGGAGATATTATTCCACCTATTTTGGTGGAATACAAATTTTCACATGAAGGCCTCAAACTTGGATACAGATATCCAAACAGAGACTGAAATGCGATCTCCACACGCATCCAAACTGCAGAAATGCATAGTATCAACGGAATTGAGAGACCCATTTCCAAGGAAACAACCCCTATTGCCTTTAGAAAAAAGGACTTGTACTTCTAATCTTATCAGTAAGGCTATTTCCTACACTTCACTTTAACCCTCCTTTCATGTATGTCTTTGCTAGATTTCCTCTATTTCTGCTCCCACCAAAGTGGTAGATGCATTGGCTCATCCACAATGGAACGCGGCCATTGAAGAAATGATTACCTTAAAGAAACAACAAAATTAGGATGTAATTGATTGGACAGACAACATGTGCTAGGATGCAGATGGGTGTACACCCTGAAGTACAAGCTATGTGATTCGATGAGAGATACAAAGCAAGTGTGGTGGATAAGGTGTTTATGCAGCTATATGGGCTTGACTATAAGGAGACTTTTGCTCCTCTAGCAAAATTGAAATCAATAACGGTACTTTTATCAATGGTTGTTAATAGAAAAACGGCACTCCACCAATTATATGTGCAGAATGCCTTTCTCCATGAAGATCTACAAAAGGAAGTATATGTGGCATTACCACCTGCGTTTTATCCTCTGAGGGATAAAGGGAAGGCCTGCTAGTTGAGGAAAGCTATATATGGATTGAAACAGTCGCCTCGAGCTTGGTTCAAAAAATTTAGTATGGCATATTGAATTTTAGATAAGTATTTCTTATCATTTTGTCTGGTTAAAAGATATTCTCGTTCTACCACAATTCTGATAGTGCACATGGACGATACCATGCTCACAAGAAATAATAATCACGGAATTCAAAAAGTGAAAAACTTCTTAGGGAGCGTTTTTGATGCCAAGGTTCATGGCCCATTAAAATATTTCCTTAGAGTTGAGGTGGCAACGTTTAAACAAGGACCTTTCTTGTCTAAAAGGAACTATACACTCAATCATACTATATACTCAATCCGCTCATTGACAAAGGAATGCTTGGAGCCAAACTAGTAGAATCTCCCAAGAGGTTATTCACAAATTGTATGATTTGCAGTCAGAACCTCTAAACAACCCTGGTGGATATCAGAGATTAGTCGATAGACTTATATGTTTGACTATCTCACAGCCAGCTAGAGTGTCTGTTTATGGATGCACCATGCTCCTATCCCCTGGAGGATGTTTATCGAACTTTATAATATTCAAAATCAACTGACAACGGAGGACTACTTTATACCAATCACAATAACCTTGATATAAAAGGCTTTTGTGATGCAGATTGTGCCATATAATATCTTTATCAACAATCTACCAATGGTTATTTTATGACAATGCATGCTAATATAGTTACTTGGAAGAGTAAGAAGCGACCGATCTTCACCAGAAGTAGAGTATCAATCAATTTCCAAGGAAACAACCCCTATTTGGCTTCGTTCTATTCTTTTAGAATGATTGTTAATGTATCAGTTCCTATTCTTTTAAATTATTGACGCAAATAAAAATTGGGGTGATCAAAATTTTAATTTTTTTAAAAAATTTGTCTTAGGAATAGGAAGTGCGTTGGGGTAAGGTGAGAGGATTTTGGTGCGTGATTTGTTTAGTAAATAGGGTGTGGCGTGAGTTTTTTTAGGAAAGGTAAATTTTTTATTTGGTGTGAGTTGTTTTTAAAGCTTACCTAAAATTAGCGTGGCTTAAAATGGGAAAGTCCTATTTTCATGGACTTGGAGATTTAGTTAGAGATTTATGGGAGATATATAGGGCCTCACATGGGGAGAAGTAAATATTTTAATAAGAATTGAGGGATTTAAGATATTTAGATTTGGGAAAGATAAGGGACTTAGATATGTGAAGCATTAAATGTAGATAGAGAGTGAGATAACGTGGGAGGGTGATAGAGTTTACATTTGTGGCTTTTTATTATTTATATATTTATTTGGTTATTTATTTATTTATTTATTTAGTTTTCTTCCAAGTTATTTAAGAGAAGAGTCCCTCATTGTAACGACAGAGAGAATTGAATTTGAGTAAAGAATTTGAGTCTTATGAAAACATCTTATGGAGTTGACTGCCTTATACACCTAGAGAGCGGGTATATTCTCTCACCTTGTATTATTATTTTTATTTCTCTAGGTCAGCAATGAAGTCCACCCCAAAAAATCTTTTTACAAGACTCAAATTTTTTACTCAAATCCAATTCTCTCTATCTTTACAATGAGAGACTATTCCCTTTAAATACACTTAGAATATAAATAAATAAATAAAAACCCACAAAATATAAACTATCTCTCTACCACGTTCTCTCAATCTCAATCCACGTTTGATCCTTCCTATATCTAAATCCCTTATCTTTTCCATATCTAAATCATTTAAATCTCTCAATTCTTATTCAAATCTCTTCTTCTTCTCAATCTCTTCTTCTCCCCATGTAAGGCCCATATATCTCCTAGAAATCTACTAAATCTCCAAGTCCATGAAAATAGGATTTTCTCATTTTAAGCCACCTTACTACAAGATAAGCCTAAAAAACAACTCACACAAAATAAAATATTTACCTTTCCTACGCTCATGCCAGACCCCATTTACTAAACAAATCGCGTACCAAAATCCTCCGACCTAACTTACCCCAATGCAACTCATATTCCTACGACAAAATTAAAAAAAAAATTGTTAACCTCAATTTTTATTTGCATCATTCTCTCGGGATTGGGAAAAGCTAGACCTCGAGGCTTATGAAACTCAAAAATTTTCCTTCATCATCTTCTTTACTTTGTTCCAACTGCAAATTTTCACCCTTGTCTTGTCGAACTTTTGATTGTTAATCCGAATCAAACAAAGTCGTGATATGCTTAAAATATTGATGCCAAAATCTCTTGCACCTTCTACCACTTGTATTTCATGAGTCTTAATCAACTCAACTTCTGAAGCAAGCTGCAATGTGTGATTAATGCTTGAATTAGTAGTTGATTCTTGTTCTTCTACCTCTCCATGTTCTTCTTCCTCCGATTAAAATCCATGTACTAGATCTCGTAGATACTCTATAGGACGTGGATCTTGTCTGCCAATTTGTTATTGACGTTCTGGATCAGTGGTCCGAGTCGGTCGGGGAACTTGATTCGTCTCTACAATAAGATGTGGTGTCAAATCCACATGGTTGCGAGCGCCCTCTTCTCAAATAATAGTATTCTCCAACCGAATAATAATATTCTCCAACCGTGGCACCCGTTGTTTAATTTTTCTTATGTCTCATCGGATGCCCTCCAAAGTTGTGTTCATGCTCTCCTAAATGTGCTTAGCCACAAACTCCATGATTTACGGCAATATATCCTCAAGTGTACGGGCAAGTTTCGACGTCATTGTCGCTGATGGATCTTACTTGCTCTGATACTACCTGATACAGGGAAGATGAAGCAAAAAATAATTAAAATAAAAGTAATAATATAGGGTGAGAAAATATACCCTCTCTAAGTTTTCAAGGGAGTCCACTACAAAAGATCTTTTTACAATGTCAACTTTTTACTGAATCACCAAATCTTTGTCTTTATAATGAAGGACTCTTCCCTTTAAATACACTTAGAAGAAAAATAAATAAATAAATAAAACCAACAAAATATAAACTCTATCTCCCTCCCACAATATCTCAATCTCTATCCACGTTTGATCTTTCCCATATCTAAATCCTTTATCTTTCCTATATCCCTTAAATCTATCAATTCTTCTTCAAATCTTTTCTTCTCCTCAATCTCATCTTCTCCCCACATGAGGCCCCATATATCTCCCATAAATCTCTAACTAAATCTCCAAGTCCATGAAAATAGGACTTTCCCATTTTAAGCCATGTTAATACAAGATAAACATAAGAAACAACTCACACCAAATAAAAGATTTACCTTTCTTAAAAACACTCACGCCACACCCTATTTATTAAAAAAATCACACACCAAAATCCTCCCACTAAACTTACGCCAACGCACTTCCTATTCTTAAGACAAAAAATAAAAAAATAAAATAAAATTTTGATAGCCCCAATTTTTATTTGCATCAATTATGATAATCAAGTGGCAATTTATATCTGCCTCGAACCATGTATTCCATGAAAGAACCAAACATATTGAGATCAACTATCGCTTCTTACGAGAAAAGGTTGCTTCAAAGACAAATGTTCTCCATTTGTTTGCTTTGAGAATCAATTGCGAGACATACTACAAAGGATTCTAATCAAGTTCGACTAAAAGACACTTTGGGCAAGCTGGGCATCTATGACATATATGCTCCCTGCTTGAGGAAGAGTGTAGCGACTATTATGGGTTCTATGTCTACTAGGAACTGTGTAGTGACTATTATGGCCCTCGTGCCTATTAGGGAAATCTCCATTTGGTTACAAGGCACATTAACCAAGAGGCTATATATTTTTGGAAACCCAATATGTACCAAATTTGTATAATATCCTATTATACATGGATGCTTTTCTTGTTGTAACCTATATGCGTGATAGCTGAAACTTACATGCATGCTGACCTATATTTTAAATGCCATAAGGATACATGTGCACATATCAGGTACATTGTCCCATGAGTTTTACAATGTGAATATTTTACCAAATCGTGCATCTGAATTTTATTCTCTCTCTTCTCTCAATCTTAACAAATACGACTTGATAGTGCAATCAGCGGGCAGTTTGATGAAATGATGTACAGAAAAAGATAAGAAGTAGAGAAGTCTTGAGAAACAATGCCTACTAGAGGAGCAAAAGGCCTTGCAAATCCAATTTGAGTGGAAGAACTATATATATACGTATATATGTATGAAATGGAAGAAACAAACATGATAGGTAAGAGGAAAGCGACTCCAAATATGAGCCTTTTCTAAAAAAATGAACTGGATCTTCAGGTCTGAGCATGGGTACAGAGAATTGTAATGTACAGAGAATTAGAAATAGCTCTGAAAGTCTCACCCTTTAGACATGATCTGGAGTAAATAATATTTTGCATCAGTAAGTAGGTAAAAAGGATGTAGAGAAGAGCCTGTTTGGCATCTAAAACCAGAAACCATACAGAAAGCCCCTATTGATCCAGGAACAGGTATTATTTGATGCAAATAAAAACAGTAGCTTAGAACAACCCACTCAAAAGGCCAATAAATCATCCTGAGAAATAGCAATAACCAGTTCAAATAAAGGACAATTATAGTTTCCTAGGTAGAAGAACTGGCTAGAGATAGGCCTAACTTGTCCACTTCGTGGCTACTTTCTTTACAATACAGGGAGCTTTCCATCTCATAATTCTTAGAAACCATTCAATGTACTCCACTAGTTTAATTTCTGAAGTTATTTCCTTGGGTTCTGCATCTCCACAACAGTGTTCAAGTCCAATTCAACCATTGGTGACTCATCACCATATTCCTTGAAGAAGAGCCTCGATTGGTTCTACCAAATAGATAATATATTATGCTCTAAATGTTTACAATTTCAGTGCCACATCCATAAAAGAGTTCTGATACATGCAATCGGTGTCGACAATATGTTCAAGCAGAAGGAAAAATGTCGGCTTGAGTAAGGCAAACATTGGTGCAAGTCCAATGCCTCAAAAGCCCAAAGGGATCCTCCACAGGTTTAGTTTGCTTCCAGCTATAGAGCTAAAAACCAAGGCGTAATATTGCTCTTTAATCCCAGCTGTAGTCAGAATCCTACAAGGATACACTTCACGAATCATTCACTGCACTTGTAGAAGGGATGCGTTTTAACAATCCACATGGAAATATTCCTTGAATATGAAGCTTAACGCCATCATAATCCTCATCTAATCAGTGGTTAATCTAAATGAATTCAAATTGGATTGGATGTTATGTTTTATAATTGCCTATCAACTACTGTTCTTTATTTTAAAAGTAGCAGAGCGGGTGTATCCCAAGTTTACATACGAGGTGTGAATTGTATAAGAGCATCATGGCATCTTTCATGAGTGAGGTTGAATATCTCAAGGATCTTGATACAGCATCACATTTACTGCCCAGTTTCTAGTCTAATCTAGCCCCAGGGCCCAGTTTCTAGTCTAATCTAGCCACAAGAAATATATTGCATTTAGCAGTCAAAACCAGATGTGCTAAGCAAAAGATTTATGTTTCCAAAACTACTTAATTTTATAAATGCGCTAGGGCACAATGCACTGAACTTCACTTTGGAAATAATAATATAATTATTCATCCCATTCTGTACCCGTCGATTGAAGAACTCTAGTTTGAAAGGACTTTAATAACAAATACGTCAATTTGATTTCACGGAACGTGTGCTTCTGTGAAATAGTTTTGTTCTAAAAATGTTTCTAAATGGAAGCAAGAAATGAAATGAATGTCTATTGAACACGCGTTTTCAATGCATGTGCAGGCAGGTGCATGCACGTGCACACACACAGACGCACATGCTTGTGCACGCACGCACACACACAAGCACGTGCATGTGCAAGCGCACACAAATATTATCAACAGAAGTATTTGGCCCTTTCTTTGTTCACTGAGAAGTTAATTCTCTTTTGCAACTGCAAATACATTGCCTTAATGAGGATCTAATTCTCATGCCTTTTCCTGTAGTCTCTAAAAAGTTCATTAAAGAATAAATCAAATGCTCCTTGAGAAATTATCTATATTAGACAAATCCTTTCAGGGGTGGACTTCAGATAACCTTATCTACTAGCTTGGTAAATTTCTTTTGTACATTGTACTGCATCTCAAAGATCTACAAAGGAAATCACAAGGTACTCTTTCTTGCAACCTATATTCAGGGCATTCTAGATTTTCCATTGAAATCAATATATTGCCATTGAAAATTCAATATATCATACTGTAATATAAAATAAATAAATTTTGAAGAAGCATCATATGGAAAAGCATAACAATATCTATATCCAAATGCATATGACATCATTAGCAGGAGGTCAACCTCAGAAGTGCCCCAAGAGTCAATGGCACTGTATCAATCTGAAGTGCTCGTCGACAACCAAGCTTGTCGATCATTACCCCAGAAATTATGCTTCCAATAAATGCACCAGCAATAAATATGCTCACCACAAGGCCCTCAAGAAGAGGCTTCCCTTCAAATCCCAGCTCTCGTGCAATGAATATAATTGGACCATTCATGACCCTGAAAGTACAAGTCATGATACCCTCGGAAATTTAGTTCCCACAAATATATAGATAAATGAACTAGTTAAATAGATCAAAGCAATAAAATGTACAAATATCTACAATATGGTGCCAGTCTAGTTTTCTATGTTCAATACACGTAGAGAGTACATCTTGTTCCATTTCACATGTAACCAAAGATGCAGACTACAAAAACTGCAAAATATAATAATGGCAGTGTCATATGCAATAATTTGATCAAATGAATGCCATCTCTCATTTATAGTCATAATCTACAGCAGCTCCCCGGTGCATGAAGACCTAGAGGAGGTGAAAGTTCAGAATTCATCTTTATGTGTTTGTTTAACATAACTCTTTATAAAAAAAAATCCCATTAGAAGCCACTTATTGTAAGAGAAATTTCACTGAAACTAAATATTAGTGAGTTATTGGTGCTTCAATCATAAGGATCACATTGTTACTCCATGAGTCACAATGCACTTCAAGTGTTCTAACCACACCACGCCGCTAAAAACTGTGTTAGGGAGAGAGTGGCCAAACCCTATGTGATATCCAAACAGGAAATTAGCCATGGAGGCTGTGAGAACATGAGGAAAAGCGGCCAACCATCCCAAATCATCCCCACCTCCATGACCATTGCTAGCATCATCACCTGCAACATCCGACAAATTAACATAGTATTTTCAGGTAGAAGAACAAGAAAATAATGGTTTTGATTAAGAAATTCACACTAAACGTTCATTGTAGAAGAAGACCTGAAATTCGAGTCTCCAGTTCGCGTTCTTTCACAGAAGGATGATCCTTGAATTTTCTTAAGCAACGAAAAGAAGACCTCAATTCCCATTTTCTCTGAGCAAGCAAAGGAGAGCCATGAAAAGCCACGCAAAAATCCTTGGGTGCCTTAGACGGAAAGAGTAATAGAGGAACAGGTCCAATAATGGATTGATTCAACTGGGTTGCCAAGCAGTAGTCATAGAGCTTGGGAGACATTGAAATTATTCCCTTCGTCAATCTTTCTAGGCTCTGCTAATCAAGAACGAAAAAACTCCTACTCCATGGAAACACCACTAGAGAAAATACAACTGCGAAACAGAGACTTTAATTTTACTAAAAACGAAAAAGAAACTTTAATAATCAGTTTAACAGAAGAAATGCCCAACTACGGAATAATGGAAGTTCGCTTTAATGGATGCCACCGGGAAGAGTATTTGGATGTTCGGGAAATTTTATTTCAAATTTTGGCTCTAGTCACGACGCACTTACCACCACCCGATTGAATGTATGGTATGGAGTTGTGTCGTCCCTATAATAATAATGATAAAAATAAATAAGTGAATGATTTTTATATTTCTAAATTATGAACCATTCAAAAAGCCTTGTGTTCACAAAAGATTTTCTTTTTTGGCTTTTCATTTTTTTTCTTTTTTCCGCCCAAAACAGATGAAGGGCCTAGGGCTTGTAGAAATAAGTTAAGTCTCAATTTTATCTTTTCTTTTCTTTATATTAGGTTAAGTTCAAATTTTTTTATGCACATGCTTATTACCACTATACATGCCTACAAACATATAAGAACGATAAATGAGAAAAATGCCATAAAATTTTGTATAGGATTTTACGGTATCTTTATTCTTATTTAATTATTTTAGGGGAATGCATACTACGAGACTATCTATTTTTGGTAAAAGAATGTCACAATCATCTTTAACCATTAGATTTGAAATTTGGACATTAAGAACAATGTACAAAGTTCGAGAAAAAATTTATTGAGCATTGTGTATAATCAATGACATCATCTTTAACCATTTAATTTTACATTTGATAGCTAGGAATGAATATGACCTCCTTATGTCAAAAACTAAATGATCTCATCTTATACTCTCTCTTATGTTAATAGTTTTCACATGTGCTTGATGATGAGAATAATGATTACACAAATTTTGAACTCATTTAAGGGCCCAAATCCCCACTAACTTTACCACTTTTTTTTTCTGGAATAGAGTTGAGGTCATGGTAGTAGCACCACTTGAGCCTCAGCTAAGGGTCTAGGTTTTCATTCTTACTGACGCATTCGAAAAAACCGTTAATTATTTCTAAAAATGGGTAGGGACCTGTATTCCCCATTGATTTACCCCAAACAAACAAAAAAAAAATTGAACTCAATCCAATATAGGGAAAAATAAAAAAATTGAAATACTAGATAAAAATTGGGAATAAACATAAATCACAAAATATTATTGACATCTTTTGCATTTTGAAAAATATAGGGGATATTTGCATAAAGTCCTCCTATTTTTGGCTTGTTTAGCAAATATTTATCAAAATAAAAACTTAGAGAAACATAAGCCAAAACTATTCCAAAAATTCAATAGAGAAAACTCATGGAAAGCAATGTTGAAATGTGCATGGATGAAGCCTTAACCCATTGGGATCAAGAGAGATTAATGATGATTAAAGGAAATAAAGATCTAATCAACAAAGAGAGAAGACATGTTGCAGTAATAGAGAATTTATAGCAAAGATGAACTTAACAAATCAATGGAAATTGAACAATCTTATTCAATTATTGAAAGCTTGAAGACTAGATCATTCATGGCTTGAATCTTGAGATATGGATCACCATTAATGGAGTAGTATGAAACTTTCAATGGAGCTCTTCTCTCACCTCAACATGTAGGAGCATTTAGAGAGAGAAAAAAGAAGAGGAAGAGCTTGGGTGTGTCACATACAATGGTAGAGAAAGCATATAAAGTACCTCGAGATTTAATTTGGTGGGTGTTGGAAAATAAATGAATCTTCAAACACTACATCAACTTGGTGAAAGACATGTAGGTTGAAGCGATGATTAGTTTAAGAACAACTAGTAAAGAGGCGAGTGAGTTTTTAGTGACAATAGTGTTGGCTATATGGCCTTTCAAGGCCTTAAAGCCAAGGATCTTTCACTTAATGGGAGTAAGAGAGAGAGTAGATCTGGGTGTTTGACGAACTAAGACCCAAATTCACATACCCAAAGTACATGAAGCAATGAGTGTTTGCGATTAGAAAGAAAGATCACTTAGAAAGGTATAAGAGTCACCTCAGAGTCAGGGTTGTATTTATTAGCACGCTTTTATGGCTAATGTGATTGGTCAGGGCTAGGAGAACCATCAGACTACAAAAGAACCTGAGTATTTTTCAAGCATCGGCCATGTGTGGAATGTCATGACTTATGAGACATAAGTCCACACTTTGACATGAGACCACTCTTCACATGGGAAGCCACTCTTCTAGAATATGACCCAAATAAGAAGAGCTGGTGCACACGTGCATTGAGAAGACCCATGTATTTGAGCACTTATATGTCCCACAAGGGTCCATCTATAATCCATTGAGAATCTGATGATGGAAAGCTTGATCGGGACGCTTTTGATATGGTCAAATTATGTGTCTGTCATAGACTGTGGAATATAGGCCGGTTGGGTCATCTTGAGACAAAGTGGACCGTCATTCTAGACTAGCCCAATAGAGTACTCCAATGTTAAGAGTTAGAGATCTCATTTACCATTTGCCCCATTTTATTTTGATGAAAAATACACATTTATGATGAAAAATCAATTGGTGTTTTTTTGGGATTTTTTGAGAAGTTTTTGGAATTTTTCTAAAGCATAAAAAATTCAATTTCATACTTTCTTTGAGAAAAATTTCAAACAATGACATCTTGGTGGGGTCCGTATGGCACTCATGGCCATAGAGTGGTCACGTGACACCCCAAGGCCTTCCACAATGCTAATGTCAGTATGAAGCCAAGACTAGTGGGATGTCTTCCTATGGAATTTGTTGATTTGATCCATCCCTTACTTTTCAAGGCTTGAGCTTCAAGCAACCATGGTGTTCCCATCTCTTTATGGACACTAAATAGTTCATACTCTACACTTAATCATATGATTTATTTTTATTTTTATTTAAGTTTCATCTTCTTCATGTTTTGACTTTTGTAATGGACAAGTTTTTGTGTTTCTTTCATGATCTTCCATGATTTATGTCAAACTATGTTCATATTCCTTTCCATTTGCATAGTTTAGGTTGAGATCTCTTCTAAACAACTTTTCTTCCACTATTTCACCATCTGATTTTTTTGAGAATTTGAGTAAATATAATCCTCTCTAAATTTTCATAAAGATAGAAATCGTGCTGGCATAATTGTTTAATAAATTGTCATATGCCATGGACACATATATACTTACTGTTTAAGCCGATTGATCTCCTTCTCTCTCAATTATTTCGATCTTTAAAATTGAACATCTATCTCTCATTTTGAACATATCTAAGTAGTAAAAAAATGATTTCATGATTCCCATAGTTTGAGTTAAGAAAACCACATTAGAATTTCAAACCATTTGTGCTTTCATCTTGGGGATAACATTAAGTCCCCAAAAGATCCAATTCCAAATTTGGGCACAACGGTTTCAATCGTTGACTTCTTTTTATTTCTTTGGTACTCTACTCTATGTAAAATCGCTATGTAAAGTCACATAGTTTGACTGTTTCATGTGACAAATGTTTAAGATCTTGTATTTGGGATACCCTAGAGTTGAAATGTTGTTTTATTTTTACGTTATTAGAGTCATAAGGTGCTCTAATTTGTGGTTGTAGGTGCTATAAAAGTTTAATTACACTTGTATGTGCATGCTTTGGTTGTAAAATTTTAAAGTTATTTTTACTAGTCGATCATTGTACAAAGAGCACTATATTATCTGTATCAAAACAATTGGTAATAGAGCCAAAGCTGTTTGGCAGTTCCCTTGGTCCCTTTTTGTATCTTAGAGTGAGTTCTTGGAGTGCCAAATAGGAAGCCATGGCCACAAGATTGATATTGATCGAATTGCTCAAGAAAGAAAGGTTCAACAACTCAAACTATCCCAAATGGAGAAGAAAGATAATGTATGTTTTTCATGAAGATGAATTTACCCCTCTCTTGACCCAACTCCCTTTGAGTACGCCCGCCCTAGATGCCTGTCAACAAATCAATGATGCCTATGATACTTGGCATCGGAAATATAGAAGTGTTATGAACATTGTTCGAGCTACAATGAGTGAAACCTATATAAAGAAGTATGAGGATCATAGCTCCGTAAAGCAAATTTTGAATGAAATGAAGAAGAAATATGATGCTTTAAATGAGGCTAAGAGCATTGTAAGAATGAGAAGCCTCCAAACTTGCAAAATGGATGATCACACAAGAGTATGTGATAACTTGAGAGAGTTCAACAATTCATGAATGAAAATGAAAGGGCTGGCACTCCACTTGATCAAGGAACCCTCAAGACCAACTTAGTGGTATAGGTCAACACCTACCACAACCAAGTCAGCCGATTCTTCAATCGGTCCCTCTAGTTCATCCGATCAAACAAACCGTGCAATTTCCACAACCGAAGGAGATACTTATGGGTCAGTATGCCCCTCAGGCACAAATCTATCAAACCGCCCCCATGGATGCAGCTCATCAATCTCAGGCCCATGCAGGTCAACATGTACCCCAAGTCTCGACTCATCAATCTACGCTTGGGAACCCACCAACCGGTGGGGCTACTATCATGCCAAACACCCAACATGAAGGCGCCTTAAAAGCAATGTAGGATATGCTTGTAAGAATGGGCATGCATGAAATTCTACCCCCGAAGGCCTATGTTCATGAGACCCTTGGAGGCATGGAAGACCTTCCTGTGGGATTTGTCTGTTGGGAAATATTTTTCATCAACATGGGGACCCCGCTCAATAATGCCTAGCAAACAGTGGAAATTCTGGCAGTCTCAAAAAAGCCCTAAAATTGGCCAAGATCTTCATAAGGTCTCTCAAAAGTCCTTCGCCAAGTTTCATTGCATTCTGACATGTCTAAGGCAGTGTAGACTGAGAAACAGTTCCGGCAGAATTAGCCTCTCGCACCCTGAAACGGACCTCTATAACTAGAGCTACATTTTCAGTGTCTCAATTTGTTATGGACCACTACTATTGGATCCAAAACTGTTGAAAACCCTCAGGGGTCAAATTTCAGCTCGAACGGACACTCCAGGAGAAAGTTATAGGCAAAAGAGTGAAACAAGAGGGGCCGCACGCTATTCCTGTGCGGCCACCCTGCAACTCCATACCATGGAAGGAACAGTCATGAACAATGACTTTTGATGATTGTATCTCACCCATCTCAAGTTGGATTGAGCTCAAATTCGGTGAGCATGTTCATCTAATTAAGACGAGCGATTCGATATGTGGCACGCCCCGTGACA